TACTACTATACGCTGTATCCATGTATAAGCAAAGGAAGGAAGACCTTTTTGAACATGGATATTAGACACAGTAATGACGTGGAATACGCCATCATTTTCTATTGTAAATCTTTGATGGGGCTTTTCTCTTTGAAAGCGGGGTCATCTGACCGCAACTACCTGGTAGTAACGTTGAGAGAAGAAGAAGCTGCCAGTTAAAGAGAACTGTCATACTTTCACGATACGTTTGTGCAATTTTATGTATTTACATACTTAATTCAAAAGTGCTTAGCGTTTGAATCGTTGATTCGAGGCTCCTTTTGCGAGGGATCATTTTCTCGTCGATTATACCACATGATTGCTGAACGTCTCTTTCTTCTAAGCTTTTTCTAAAACCATTACATATCGTACCGTTGTAATAGAATTTTTTTGGAAAAAAATGGACTTTGCTCCTTAATGGATTAGCGTTGTTGCAGCTGCACGTATCTACTCTCTGCACGTGAGTCAGAAGCGATAGCGGATGGAGGGTCTTCCGGACAGGAAGTACGCGTCGGGCATTCTGTACCAGCGATATAAGACACGGCGGTAAACCCAATTATCAGCGCGTCTTAACGAAAAAAAAAAAACTCGGAATTCTCTCGCTTCAACAAGATCCAAAAGTCAGCTCCCGTTTCCCGCAGCTCTCTCGCGTGGCCGCGCGAGTTTCTCTCCCTCTCTCGAAATCCTTCACCGTTGATTTTCCGGCGAAAAATCCCTCGGCGGAACTGCCGAGCGTTGCGGCATAAAGTTTATTGCGTTGCGAGCAAGATACTATCTACACGCCGATAATTTCCCGCACCTTTTTTAGAACCGGCGGCGGCCGGAGCGTGTGCGCGCACGCGGGATCTTAAAGGGACGCGAACGAGTAAGGTATAACAAGGCTTTAATCGTTCTGAAAATTACGTCGCGCGTGAAGCGATACGGTATTACGACACGAACCGTACTATTACGCGAAATCTTCAAAATGCCTACCTCCGACGTTTTATGGCGGTGTAAAAAGGGATATAAACGTGGAAAGCGTAACGGGCATATTATTAGCATTTTGATCTCCTTCACACGAGTATCTTTGGCTGCGGGTACGTATGTGAGTTGTATTAAGTAATATTCTATGATACTTTTGCGTTCGAATCTAATCGCGTGTCTATCCGGCAAACGTTATATGTCTCTCCGACAAATATATGTGGACCCAGTATATCGCACTTTTATCAACCCGTTTCCTTTGTTTCTCTCTGTATCGTATTATATCTCATTAACGACGAATGAGAGACGAAGCGTGTAAAACTATACATTAAAAAATTAGATTGTTTCCGCGTTCCGTTGTTGTTAAGGTTCTACTAGAATTAATTGAGAAGCAAGATTGCTTTTTCTACTCTCAAGACCTACTTTGCGCCGAGAACACGAGATGCCCGTGTAAGGAGAATAAAAAGAAATGATAATCTGCTCGGGTGTGTATTTGTCAGAACTACGGAAACTTTTTTATCTTGCTGATAGAAACGAGTAGAAAAGTGCTCGAGAGTGCCAAGACAGTCGATACTTATCGAAGTACGGAGCTTCTTCGAGAAAAAAAAAACCGAATATAAACCCTCGTAACGTCGCCCTTATGCCACGCAACATCCGATATCCTTCCGCCGGCCACTCGTTACTCGCTCGTACGTGAACAATGTAATACAACACCCGCGATACAGCAGGCGTGCTTAAATGAAGCGATCCACGCGCTATTGGCGATCAGCGCGTGTGCGCACGCACGCAGAGTTCATCGGGACGATCAATCCCCAAATGTCGAATGCAAAAAGCTCGAGAGGGCCGCTCGCCGTTGAAAGTAGAAATCGGAAGAGCGTCTTCTTAAAGCGTAAGAGAACGCATCGTCATTTGGACGCTCGGCGTTCCCCCGATTATATAGCTTCCGATTTGATGCTGACGCAAATAAAAAGTTGCGGAAGCAGAAGTCATAACGGAGCATGAAACGCAGACGTGGCGTAGTTGTACATAACGGGCGTGCATAAGTCGGCAATGGGACGTAAACCGTCCGTACATAGTTACGAAAATATAACTCTCTAGAATATACTCTCTAGAAACGGAGAAAAAGAAAGAGAGAGAGAGAGAGAGAGAGAGAGAGAGAGAGAGAGAGAGAAGGGGGGGCGAAGTCGTGTGAATAATGTACTGTCGATAACACCTTTTCACGATGCGAATTGCTGTTTATTAGAAACGGAAGGATTATATGCCGGATGGAGGAAATAAGGGCTAAAGTTAGTGGCATTTCTATTGCCAATTAGTTGCACGTTTAACGTAGCAGATATCCGCGATAATAAACCTTAATATCTGACCATTAAGTTACATTTTTTGCAATTATTATTATTAGATTGTTGTAATATAGCGTGGCATTAGGTTATATCGTATATTACGCTATATATGTATATATATGTTTCGCTTCATATATTTTACTTATACGAAAGTTTCTCAGAAAGTGTCACGTCTCGAGAGAGTTCTAGATTCTTAATCCTAGATTTCAAATTCTATGATTTTAAATTCTAGATAAATGTGAATGGAAATGTTATGTTTTGAATAAAGACATACATCATCCACATCCATCATAAAGTTTACATATCTGTGTGAACTTGAATAATTAATGTTCACATATATACGTTTCTTTTCCTTTCGCTGAATCTCGTTGAGAACTTAATTTACGCGTGCAAATTAAATACCTCTGGATTTCTTTAATATATCCTACGTGACACGTAGCTCGTTGCGAAAGTGCAGCTCATGAAATGCCGTCTCTGGCTAGATATCTCCCAAAATGTCAACGTCGATGAAAGAGGAACAGAAAGTACGTAGTCATTTTAATTATATAATTATATTATATAATTAAGAAATAGAAATTATATATATGGTATGCAGAGTGTAACTGAAAAAAAAAACGTCCATTCGAGATTAAATAGAAAATTCAAGTTCTTGGTAAGAAATTCGTTGTTTTCGATGTAGATAAGTTCTTACGACACGCGCAACATGCTCAGCTCAATCTGTTACACGCAGATATGTATATTGCAAGGACGTCCTAGAAAGCACTTACAATTAGCTCGTCAACGGCGGTGAAATCAGGAATGTCGGTCGATCTTTTTCCTCTTCCGCGCGCGGCGATAATCCTCCGCCGCCTCCCCCTTGGTGCTGATGCGGCACGATCCGAGCATCGTCGGCATATGCATTACGTTGAAATCGTGCAATATTCGACGACTGCAAAAATGCATACGCGAAGCATGCAGTTCCTGCACACGCGCCACGGGACTTTCTCCAGCTCCTCGGGTATATCGCGTATACTCGTGGCGTATGCATTTCGCGTACGATACACGTGTGTATCGTAAGTTTTGCTTATTCGGCCCCCGCGCGGGGGCCGAGCGTTTTTCTCCCTGCCGCCGCGCCGCCGCCGCGTCTGGAATCTTTGACGTTACGACGTAATCCGCGTTTTTCCGCGCCGATCCTACACCCCGCGGACGTTTGGTACCGCTGCGAGAGAATAACGGAATATTCGAGAGGCGTAGAATGCGAAAATGAACGCGCGCGGAATAAATTACTGAATATCGCGCGAATGCGGTATATTTAAGATATTTATAATATCGCTGTTGGCGGGAACAGCCACATCGAAAACAACAACTTTATAATTCGACGATTTTTTAGTTGAGCGACGGTAACGGCGACCGTCTAAAATAATACAACGGATAACGCAACGACGAGGAAAGAGCGAGCTTGTAAAAAGTTTGAAGGAGGAGAGATGCAAGAGATAAGGATAGAGGATAGAAGCGTTGAAATGCAACAACGTCCATTCCAAGAAAGTTGTTTTCGCCTGCCTACTTCTTGCTGCCCGTGTGTGTAAATCATTCACGTACACGTCACCGCGAGAGTATGAGACTGAAATCCGGGAACCTTGACGAGAAAAAAAATAAATAATATCAAGCGGCCTTCATTAGTCCGCGTAAGAGTAGTTAATTCTACTCTTTCTCTCTCTCTCTCTCTCTCTCTCTCTCTCTCTCTCGCTTTGTCTCTTCTCTCTCAAGTGCATATTTTCTCTGATATATCCAATACTTTTTTTAAGATCGTCGAGAGCGATAATCGCTCACTTAATAAATATTATGAAGTCACGGGAAAATGACGGCTGTATCAATTATATCGACTTAATATTACAGTGCCAGTACAGTTTCTCCGATATCGCGACTATTTTGATTGGCAGTAACGTCGGCTTCTCTCCCGAGAGGATCTCGATATCATTATTCGAGTGATACTTAAATGAAAGATCGCGGATCCCCACCGGTATCTTTTCGCGGCTGCAAAAACGGCTCCGCGCCGAGTGCGCCGAGATCGCCAGATATTGAACGGTAAATCGTACTTGGAAACTTGCCGAGCGCGCGGCACGTCGCATCGCATCGGCCGTACACTTTATAACGAATCCCTCACATTTCTTTTCGACGCGCGGATAAAGGATGACGTAAGTAATTCCTGTCTTACATCCAATCATCCTCCACCGCGCGGAGGATCCGCATACGCGCGCAACATTTTTATCACGTCTCGGCCTCGTTACGAGACGTTTTGAAACGCACACAGCCTCTCTCTTGAAATTTATGGGAGCTACGATCTACTTATTGGGCCAGTCACGATACTCATTAATGAGTACCGTGGTGTAAAAAACATAGTAAAATAATCGAGAAAGTAGTAAGAGAGAGAGAGAGAGAGAGAGAGAGAGAGAGAGAGAGAGAGAGAGAGAGAGAGAGAGAGAGAGAGAGAGAGAGAGAGAGAAAAAAGAGAGAAAGAGAGAGAGAGAGAAAGAGAGAGAGTAAAAAGAGTGAAAAAAAACTCTCTTTCGGACAAATTATTTATAGCATCAATTTTAGCCGCCGTGATACACGCGGCTAAAATTGATTGCCTTGACACAGACGCGTGTCATTTGGTACCGCATAAATTTTATCGTCATATCGTTTCTTTTTACTTTTTCACAGACTAGACGATGTTTAAACGCCTGTCGAAGTCACGGCGCCACAGCGCCGACGATGTCGCCCTTTCTTTGTCGAGCTCGACGGCTCCGCTGGACGAGCTATCGGCGACTTCAATGCCGCGGACGAACAGTCAGGATCTGGAAACCGCCACTCTGCTGAAGATCTCCCGGGCCAAGTACACCCGGAGGAGCTGCGGCGACGCGGGCGCGATGCAGACGCTGCTCGAGAAGCAGGACAACGAGCAGGATGTCATCGAGGCTGACTATCAAACGGTTACGGCCGTGCCGGCCTTCATCGTCGAGCACGATCCGAGTAAGCAACGAGGTAAGTTGCCGATGATCCTCATCGTGTCTCGATAATGAGGTGTGCTAATTAATTCGATTGTCGCATCGCACTTCAGCAATATAATTTCTTTCTAAATCATTATTTTTCTCACTTCAAACAAGCTTTATAAGATAAAGCATTACTTGATAGTTGGCTTCTCTTTCCGTACGTGATTATTTGTTAACATTTTGGTCTTTATTTATTCTTATTTGAGGGAAAATGTAGTGAATCTTTACGTATTATATTACGTAGTAAAAACGAGCACCATAAAGCTTTATGTGAGCCACAGAGTTTTGATCTCGTCGAACAACTGTGTATTGAGAGCGCGAGAGTACGCAACTATATAAAAAGCTTGTAAACTGCTACGTCGAACAATACAGTACATGCGGACATCATCCGGGTCTAAATACAATACTTTCAAACTGGGCTCTATGCTCTGGTGACTTTCATGTCCCCCGCTCATCAGTAGCTATATGCGCAAAAAGTCCCGCCGACCACTTGGCTGCCGACATCGCTGATCTTGCTTCTATTCCGAACCGCCGCGAATTACCGCTAATCCAGGAAAACATCGCATCCTTTCACTAATCACTCGCTTGGCGCACTCGCCTCGTTAGAGCCCCGCCGTCCGACATACTTGCTAACGCCGACTTGCGTTCGCTACTTCCCTCGATAATATCACAGCAAAGTTGGCAATCTTGGCTCCTTCCTATTGTATTTTAATAGAAAGTTTTGCTCGTAAAACTTAATTCATTAACTGAAGTTGTTTCACTATCATTTATTTTTTGAAAAATTAAACTTCGATATATGTTCTTTTTTTTTACATTTGTTAGAACGTAAATGCATTTAGACAATTATTCTCTATTATGCAATATTTAAGAAGTTGAAAGGAGAAACGTCGAAGAATGTATTGATACCTTTCTTTCTTATATTTGTAGAATACGGAGCCAATTGATAGACAATATTGCTTTAATTCTTTTATTTCTGTTGGCATATCATTTCTTATTTTCAGTTTCCATAACACATTTTTAAATTAATATAATTTAACTTGATAAATCTTGACGTAGTAAAAACGAGCACTGTAAAGCTTTATGTGAGTCACAGAGTCTTGATTTCGTCGAATGATTAATTGTATAATGTATTTTATTTGTAAAATTTTATAGATGTTTTTTATTTATCGTGTAAATTGCAAGATTTTCTAAAAATATGCTATTGATGCAAAATAAAATAGCGGTTACTCGTACAGTTATTATAATAACAGAAAAAACAGAAAAAGGATGGTCTATCTTATAATTATACCTGCCTTCCCGTGACATTCTTTTTTTCACATGCGCAACGACGCACCTGCAACTCGCGCGATAGCGAGTAAAAATATACCTGAGCTGAGATATTCTAAATACGTGATACTTTTGATTACGGGGGCACACGGGTGATCGGCGACAAATAAGGCTGTTACGACACAGGACGCGATATAAATCGCCTTTTGCACGCGCGCATCGTTCCGTATACGCGCGATCGCAAAACACGTGTGCCCGATACTCGAGCAGCCTTTTAATCGGTTCTCGTTATGTAGAACCGAGTGTGTCGGTGTCGCGGGCCCGTTAGCCGGGGTGACACCTCGAAAAAGTAGTCCCAAACTACGCGGAACCGCTGCCGCGAGTTTCTCGTATATGGCGGCGGCGGATAGCTGCCGCGGTTCTCGACAACCACCATATGTCGCACGCGGGTGTGGGCATCACGAGCTTTTTCGTCCTACGTTCTGCGGGATGGCACGCTGCCATTTCAATGTCTTACTCCCTTCTACCTTCCGTCTTTTACCTTCCTATTGAGAATCGAAATGCGAGAAACGATTTCAGCTCGTTATCGGATAATTAAACATATTAAATAATAATTTTGCCTTCGCTGCAATTTAAGTGATAGCATTATATTATTAGCATATTACACTAAATAACTTTGTTGATTTGAAGGTGTATGGAAATTCTTAAAGGATAAAGCATACAGGCTACCGTCTGTTCACTTATAAATTATTATATTTATAATAGATGTATCTCTTTTAAAATAATATATTTACCATTACAATTAAATCGTCAATAATCATATTGATGTTATTTCGTTCTGTAGTGCTGGGACTAGGAATTTGGGGTCGTAGGATGGGCAAGAAGATCGATTCGTTTCGGAGGACTAGATCTCGCGAGACTATCTGCTCCATTACGGAAAGATCCGACGGTGTCGAACACAACGAACACAGCGTCAATAATAATAATATAAACAATAACAATACTAGTATCAGCAACAATAACATTGACGTCCATCAATTAAGCAAGATACACTTGGACGAGAGGACGAACAGGAAGTTACCGGCAGCTTGTCAGCGATCCCCGTCTCCCTTCAAATCGTTTTTCATCCGGATGGGTTCCACCGGCATGCTCAACTCGACTAAAACCAATAGGAAGTCTCAGAATATCGAGGAGAGAACCACGATGATGCCGGACAAGGAGAGCCTGTTCAGGAGCTGCAGCACCAGTCAATTGAACAACAGCCCGACTTACGTGAAGGGAGACGATCCCTCGGAAGGCATAGACCTGCAAGTAGCCGCCCGAAAGGACAAGACGGTGTCCTGCGACAATCTGGCGGGGCATCGAGGCAACGATCAAAGGATCTTCGAGGCTCGCGCGCGAGGCGATCCTTCCGCCTCCACGTATTCGCTGGGCAGTCCTTCGGTGAGCTTCAGCACCTGCGACCTCGAGAAGACGAAAAACGAGTCGTTCATGAGGAAGAGCAGTAGCTGCGACCTGAAGGAGGCGAAGAAATCCAACTTCCCGTACGCCTTCCTGCGATCGAAGCTGTCCGTGTTACCGGAAGAACGTCACGGATCACTGGTCCCCAAGGACGAGAGGCTCTTCAAGACTGTGTCGGAGGAGCACTTTCCGACCCTGCAGATCGAGGACTCTTACATCAACACCACGACCCTAGGACGGAAGAGAACGAAGATCGGAAACGCCGGCTGCGGTCTCGACGTCGCGAGAAATCAGGAGAACGTCTCGCGACTGGGCCGAACCTCCTATGCCGAGTTTCAGAGGAACGCCATCAGATACGAAGCGGACAGATACAGCCTGAACGCCAGCCGCCTCGAGCGAATCGAAGCCGGTCTTCAGCGGGACGGCATCGCCGGCTGCTACCTGTTCGACGGAAGTCCGCTGTCCTTTCGTGAGAACAACGAATTTCGACACAGCGAGGATACGGCGCGCGACAAGGCGGACTTCGCAGTCGGCAGAATCGAGACCGGGATGACGGAGAATTGCAATGTCGATCTCGACATGATGACCGCTATCAGAAGCAACCGACGGAACTCGGTGTCGAGCTGCGAGCAGAGACTGTCGTCTCACTACGTTAGCTCGAACGAGTCCGGTTACGACAGCGACGGGCCGCGAGGTGAATTCGTGGCGGCCTTGGAGAACGAGGGGCTGAAATGTAGCTCGGACACCAGCAGCGTCGTGGACTCGGAGGCGGATAAACCCATAAGGAGCTCGACGCCGAGCGAGTGCCAGGATCAGGAAAACGCCCAGAACGCCGGCAGGATCAGGCAGAATTCCGAGAACGCGGACGAGCACGCGAGGCCGGACGCGATTTCCCGGATGAATCTCGAGGGGATAGACGGTCTCAGGTGGCACCGGAGCGGATCCGGACGGATGCTGCCCAGTATTCACGGTACGTCCTTCGAGGAGGAAGCCGTGTCGCGGCTGGAGGACACTCCGCTTCCAAGCTGCGACGACAGATTGAATATCCTGTCTGACACGTCGAAGACGCTGGACGTCTCGCCTCATCGCATGAGGTTGCAGCAGGATAAAACGAGATTTTTGAGCGATATCATTCAGCCGTTAACGAGGGTGCGGCGATGTTGCTCGATACAGTTGCACAAGAGAGATCCCAAAGAGAGCCTGGGGATTCGATTGGCGCAACAGAGACTAGGAGATTTGCAATACATCGTCGTACAACTCGAAAGCGACGGCATCGCTCACAGGTGAGAAAAATTCATCGTAGATATTTCCAATTTAATTTTTCTTTTTTTTTGAATTATCTGATTTTTATTTTAAATAATTAGTCCTGGTTTTTTCCAGGACCAAATATTATTTTTAAGATTTTACTTATTTTTAAATAATTAGTCCCAGTTTTTTCGAATAGATTTTATTTTTAAGATTTTATTTAAGTATTTTTAGATTTTAATTTTGTCCAAAATAAATTATTATTTCGATTGCAGAGACGGCAGACTGAGATTGGGCGATGAGATTGTCGAAGTCGAAGGCAAGGAGCTAAAAACGCTGGAAACCCTTGAGGAAGTGCAAGAGTTTCTGAGATCTTTTACCGGTAACACGGTACGATTAACGACGGCATACGAGGAGACGGTGCCGCAAGTATACGAGAATCCGCCGCCAGCCGTGCCCGGCGAGTACGAGTACCTGGAAAACGCGAAGAATCTGTCGTTGATCGACACCGAAGCGAATCACGTTTCTTCATCGGCCGAGAAGAAGAAGAAGAAGAAAACGACGACGACGACGACGGCCGACGGTGACGCGGAGGCACTTCAGTCGAGAAAGAGGCCCGACTTCCTGCCGCTCTCCTGCTCGTCCGAAAATCAAAAGGACACCCGCGGCAGCAGCGCGGAGCCCGTTACGACGGAGTCGCAGCACTATCTGTCGCGACACGTGGCCAAGTTCGAGAAGGGCTACGGCAAACCAAGTTTGGGCTTCAGCGTTGTAGGTGGCAGAGACAGCCCGCGGGGTGACATGGGGATCTTCGTGAGGAGGGTCTTCGCCGGCGGGCAGGCCGACATTTCCAGATCGCTGTTTCAAGGTAGACTCCATTAAAAATAAAAAAAGAAAAAAAGAAGCCATTTCCACACACCGTATATAATAACCGTATACGCGAGATCGTAGCGTTTAATTAATACGCCAGATACGTTTTATCGTTCGTCGCTCCGCGTTATAATCTCGATGAAGAAAAATCAGATTAATGGCAATTAAACCGTTGTACAATATTTGTTACACGGGCTATCTACTTTGTAATTAGCCGGACGTCGGAGTCTTGTCACTTTGATGGCGCGGCTCGAATACGGCGTAATATCACGCGCTTCGTTTCACACGTCGACGTGCCGCAAATACTTTCCGCTCGAGAGCTATCAATCGCGGGGATAAGGGAAGGCGCATGACGACGCGTCGAACGCACGTTCGACGGACAACGCGGCCTCGTGTATTCACGACGACGCCGAGGATCCCGCCAGACAGCTGTCGAATCTTTAATCCGACAGCTAACGCCGCGTGCATATCTAAACAGTCGCGGCATGTTCCACCGTTTTTCTTCTGGTCCTTTTCTTTCCTTTTTCTTTTTCTTCCCCCCCCCCTCCCCTCCCCATTTCTTCTTTCGCCAGCTTCGCTTCCTTTCATCGGAAGATACCTCGTGTCATTGACAGCGCCGGTATTAATGCCTCGCTTCCTGATATCTTTATCGCATTATTAGGATGCTTCATGTACGAGACGATTTCATATATGCGAATCGTTTCTCTTCGGATTCTTTCTTTTTTCTTTTTTTTTAAATATTCGGTGTACTTTTTCACAATCCATCGTGAGTTATCGCCGTTGACGGATATCAAGAAAGGGCAGAGAGAAGTCGTTCATCGGTGCCGACGGTCAGGTATTCGCGAGAAGTTGACGTGCCGATAACCAGGAAGGTCGTTAGACGCGTTTCGCGTTCTCATGTCTCGAATTTCAACCGAGCCCACCGCTTTTTACGCCTGCGTCGCGGTTTCCTCGTTGCCCGCCGTTCCTTACCGCATACTTGAGTAACGGGCTGGTAGGCCGATCGGCTTGCATAAGCGCGCCAGGAGATAGCGTCCCGCAAGAACGTCCTCCGTCACGGGGTCATTGGCAGCCTCGAGGGTTACTTTTTGGTCGTTAAACTTTATTGATATTATCAGAATGCTTTTCTGAGAGAGGGCGATCCCCCGATAACTTCGAGCGGAGATGCGAAAGTATTTTTCTCCATTCCTCTTTAATTATTATCGAAATTAACAACTGCAGTCTCGAAGAAATCGAAGATATTCGAAGAGGTATATTTTCTCGACTTTCAGGCGACGAAATCACGAGCCTAAACGGACAGATTTTGAAGGGCCGCACGCACCAGGAAGTCATCGAGTTGTTTAAGACGGTGAGGGAGGGCACGGTCGAATTAGAGATTACAAGAAGACACAGGTAAGAAAATTTGCAAACATTTATCTATAAGGAGGTGCAAGTATTGTATTATATTAATTATATATCATTATATTAATGAAATATTGAAAACCTGACGTGATTAATGGAAATTAATAATTGTTGCAGATATCCTAAAAGTACTGTAAAAAGTACGCCGTACTAAACAGTATGAACGAAGAAGAAACTGCCCACCGGAAGTGCTCTTTAGATTTAGGTCTAATCCACTATCATCAATCACATGGAGAAAAAAAACGACGTTTTAGAATTCTAGTCTATCAAAAGAAATCTATGACTTCTCTGACGTTTTTCTCTTGCATAATTTATTTCGCGCGGCATATCTCGCAACTGCCTGGTAGAATAGTTTTCTTATTATTAATAGACTATTCGCGTATTGTGGTATTATAACTATTATTAAGTACCACGTCTAAAAATAAGATTTTATACGAATAACGTTATGACATCGTAAAATCCATTACCTACTATGCATTTTTTAATCATAATAAAGGACAATAATAAAGAGAATGTTCTTCGCGGGTACCGAACGGGGTACCGTATCCAGATTATTATTAATTAAAAATAATTGTTATTAAATAACTGTTTTATTTCTAGCGAATTCTGAAAATGTACAGTATATACATGATTCGTATTTTACATAATTTGCCATGCTACCCGCCTCCCTTTCAGTCATCGCTCTCACGTGTCTATTAACAAAAGATCTGCGCACGACTTGGCTTTCAATATTCTGAAACAGAAAAGCGAAAAACGGCATAAAATAAATTCGAATAAATGCAAATATAAGCCATATATAAATAAATAATTCTTATTTTTTATTAGTCTCTGATAGCTATTTTAGTTTAGTTTAATTTGGTTTAACTCAACATTGATTATAAATGTTATCTTAAATATTTAAACATGCGTCACTACAATATTTTATTTAAATAAATCCGCTTAAAAGGACGGCGGTACTAATTCAATTATTTGATTAAACGTTATATTTAAGAATCGCTTACTGTGATTCGCGATTTTTCACGCGTCTACACAGGTGCAAGGCAATCGGCCCACTTTTAATATTGCGAAAGAGCTGTACGGCTTCACGATGCGTCAAGTCGTGGCAAACTTGGCCGTTCACAGCCAAAATTTCGTCCCCTGCGCGCAAACGGCCATCTTCGGCGGCCTGTCCGGTAGGCAGTACCGACTTTATGAAGATACCTGCGACAAATTAAAGAATATAGAAATAAGTATAGAAAAAGAATATAAAATTTATTATAATCTAAAGCTAATTAGGAAATTATTAAAACTTATAAATAATACGAGAACAATAAGGCTAAAATATTTTAATTTACACGCATAATATGAGATAATCCACGTAATTGAAAAAAGTATACAGCGAAAATACATTCGTAATTACCGATGCTTCCTTTCGGGCTGTCTCTTCCGCCAACTATGGTGAATCCTAGGGACTTCTTTCCGGCGCCCTTTTCGAAAAGCACCGTAAGGAACGTAGACACCGTGTTCCTCGGCCTTCTGGGAAGCGTACAGAACTTCGAGACACTCTGCGTGAATCCGCTGTCCATGTTCGTCGCGAACTTCTCGGACGAGATCGATCTATTCGACTCGTCTTTCTTGTCTCGGTGACACCTGGTCTGACGCTTCCTGAAGTGATGCGATCCGGGTGAACTTTCGACGATCACTCCGTGGCCGTCCTCCATGCTAACGTTCTCGTAGTCCACGCTGCTCTCCTTCAACTTCTTCGCTTGCTGATCGACGCCCGAGTATCGCGAGACGACGATGTCGATGTCACCGGGACCGCTGCCGCTGCCCAGGATCTTCCTAGCCTCCGCCATACTCAGGCCACGTAATCGCTTCCCGTTGACGATCAGAATCTCGTCGCCGATCCTCAGAGTGCCCTCCTTATCGGCCAGTCCGTTCGGCACCACGTGAGCCACCAAGTAACCCGGACACGACTCCGCGGTTTTCGCGATGAAGATACCGAGACACTGATCGGCCGTCTCCTTGGGAAGCTTCACGACCATCGTCTCCGTGGTGTAGGCTCTACTCCTCACCACCTGCAAACCGGAACTGCGTTGCTTTCGTTTGGAACCCTCCTCGTCCACGGTTCCATCCTCTCTCTCCCGATCCGTATTGTTCTCCGCGGCGACGGCGGCGACGGCGGCTCGAGCCGCTTGACGATCTATCAACGTACCGTTCGCGGCTTGACAAACGCTCGAGTACTCCTCGGTAAGAAGGCTCATCCCGGAATCCTTGGCCTTGTCGTAGTACACGTCCAAACTCGCGAAGAGTCGCGCGGTTCCGTCGACGTCCGTGGCGGTCGAGAAGGGTCTTCTGGGCGGGAGCTGAGGCGGCGATCCCAGACAGGAGTCGTTTTGGCTGCTGTTGTTCAGCGGCCCGGAAGCGCCGCTGCTACACCTGTCGTCCAGGAGGGAGCTGGTGGCGGAGTCGTTGTCCAGAATCCCGGAGTCGTTGTCGTCCTGATCCTGATCCTCGTACAGCGGATTCGTTCGTAGCTCCTCGAGACCCGGCAACGTGCCGTAAGAGAAGCTACGCAGCCTCCGCCTCTCCCGGTCCTTGCAGTCCTTCCTGTAGATCTTCGCGATCAGCCTGTTGGTCGAGCTCTTGAGGTACCTGTCCTGCATCGCGCGGAATTTCGCCGCCAGGCAGCTGGACGGCGTGATGGTGTCGAACGCCGTGGTGTCCTTCTTGAAAATCTCGCCGGCGTGGCCTCCAGCAGGGACGGCCCCCGTGTCGACCACCGTCACCTGACCGACGGATCGATCGGCGCCACGGTCCTCCTCGAGGAAGCCCCGATCGGCGGTCCTCTCCCATCGGTAGTCGTGAGGCATCGCGTCCTCCTGGACTGGATCCCCCTCCTTCGGCCCGCGGCACTCGGGCTGCTTCCGAGGTGTCGAGGTGCGGAAGCCCAAGAAGGAGAACCGCTCTTCCTGCTGCTTTTTGTACGACAACCTGCTCTGCGACTTGGCGCGTCTCTTCCTCTTCGTGTGACCGTTCCCCTCCTCCGTGATGTCCTTCAGGTCGGACTCGCAGACCGAGCGTCGGAACTCGCTCCTGGTCAGACCGCGGTGCCTCAGCTCGCACATCGAACGGAACTGGACGCGTCCCGCTTCCTCGTCGTCACCATCGTTCTCGCCCTCGTCGGAATCGCGATCCTTGAAGAAGCTCAGTCTGGTGCTCTTCACGCGGTCCAGCAGCGGATTCCGCTTCTCGCACACTTTCCGCCGCTCTTCCTGGATCCTCTTCTTGTCCTTCTTGTTGGCAGTCCGCTCGGTTGTCACTTGGGAGGTCTGCACGTTGTAGCAGTTTCTCTCGGATTCGGAACTCGATGATTTTCTCCGGGCCCATCGCACTGGTGATATGTCTGCGAGATAAGAATGAAAGTATTAATAAAGATGCGCAGCAGGCGGTACAAATATATATAAAGCTAGAAAATGATATGTGTTTATTTTTTGTAACGAGATATATAATCGCTTCTCCGTTACTCTAAAATAGATTTATAACTTTTATGTACTCCGTATGTATTTTTTAAATTATAATATCTTTATATACTTCATTAAGATACATAAGAATAATATACTCTGTAAATGGAGCACCGTACAAGGTCTTAGATGGATAATCGAACATAGTAGATTGTATATTCTCATTTTTGCCGGTCTGTTTGCGAATAAGAACACAAGTGAGACCCGAACTCAATGACTTCTAAATCGAAAGTGACCACTTCCACTGCCAGCCGCGACGATACTGACAGAACTGACAAATCTGCGGGTGCCGAGTTCCGTGAAGCATGACGTCTTGTACGGGATATGCGTAAAACAGGATGCGCCTATGAGCAATTTGTTTGTACTATTATAGAATATTATTCAGACAAGCTTGAAGATACTATAAATAGCTACAAAACAGATTCTAATTCAAGTAAATGACAATATAACAATCTTTTATACAATATATTAAGCTAACGATTTTTCGTATTCATTAGATAAAAGTGAAACCCCTCCCCTCAAATTATATCACATTATACAATATTAATAAAACATTTACTAATCAAAATAATTATATCGTAGGCATTAACATGTATTTTTTAATTTCAAAAAGACCTGGTAAGAGTTTATTTAAAAGAAGATGAAACCAACTTTTTGCAATTAATAATAATTAATGGAAGTATAAAATCGTTAATCATGTTTTTTTTTCCATTGTGGGGAGTTCGAATGCGACCGTCCTTGATAAAGAGCTGCAAGTCTTTTAATACTAATCGATGCGTGAATGTAAGAATACGGACTCGCGTGTCATTGTAAAATATGCGTTGAAAGCTACGTTGATACTAATTTATTCTTTAGTACTACAAGCTGTAGCTTTACGAAACAAGGTCCTGACAGCAATCGAGATAATGCAGCCAGTAACGAGAGTCGCTATCGCGACTAGACTCTTCGGTCTTCAAGGTGAGCGTGCGGGATTTACTCATTTTAAATTAGTTCGTCATCGCGCACGGCAAACCGTCAAATCATTCGCTCGGCCAGCCTTATAACAAGTTAGAAGTAAGCAGGGCCCTCAACAAATAAGGCCCGATTTGTCTTCATATCTGCGACGTCCGAGTAAAGTCGAAAACAGCTGGCGAAGTGAGTAATTTCGTGTGTACGTTATCGTGCGGAATGCGTAAACCGGATACTGTAAAAATAGATCGGACACTCGAGTAACACTTTATCGTTTTCTTTAAAGTCAGTGCCTGACGTCGTAACCGCGCGCGACCATTTTACCTCACATAAAAGTTCTCAGAAGTGGAATTGTGTTTCCTAATGTGAAATGTTTCATAATTATGCGGTTAAATAATTATATCGTTATGCGCGCCTTGCTAACCGCCTGTTATCTCGTACTTTTATGAACGTGAGAAAGAGAGTAATACTTTCTAGATCTTTAATATGTCACACGATAGAAAGGAGGTTGTCAATTTTTGCATTTCAATAGAATACGAAACTTCAACATCACGTTCAACTTTTTTAAAAGTAAAGAAATGAAGGTAGGACAACTTGATTCCTCCTCCGAAACACAATAAGTGTATAGTAAGCCTTATAAGCCGTGAGAAATTGACCAATCGTAATCGATTATTCTCTTCACATTCGATTGCGATTAGTCCCTTTATTACGGCTTAAAAAGCTTGCTGTTACATCTATTGTGTTTCTTACAGTGATATGTGTCACAACAGACTAAGTATGTATCATGCAGAAGGTATATCGTCACCAGAAGGTGGAATTTTTTAATTAAGGTCTCGTGGGCTCGCTTTCCGACTACCGTATCAATTAGCGATCGCTATAATTAGCCGGACAATGGATCGCGGATTGTCATTGCGGTCACTGTCGCCGTTCAATTGCGTGCGCGCGGTCCTACAGGACGTGTACCACGGTCACGCATGGGCATACGGGTTGCGCGTCCTCGACAATGATCCTTTATATTAACGCGCATTCGCCGGCGTATGTGTCAATTTGCTTCTATTCTCGCCTTTCCAGCCAGTCACTCGGCAACTCGGCGCCTGGACGGAACGTCGAGGATCGTAATCCCTGCATTCAGGATGGAATCCCGATTCAGGTTCTCCTTCTCGCGTACACACGGCGGGGCGGCACGTAAAAGACGGGTGTACCTTGCGCGGCGCGGCGCGCAAGACGATACGGCATTTTTGCAAGAATTAGGCCAATTCTCTCTCTCGGACGACGCGACGGGGGATAAACGGGGGGGATCAACGCGACGGCTGTCGCCGAGCGTACTTTGCTCTTTTCTATAGACGACATAGATGATGATCGCGCCGCCATTTCAGGCGACTCTTACCTCTGCAACGAGACCTCGCACGGAAATGGTAGGACGTTTCGTTGACGTCTTCGTCGGCTCGTAGGGGACTTAGGCGCAGGAGTCTCGGTGCCTCGGCGTGGCCGCGAAACCAACGCATGTCTGTAACAAATTGGAAAGTAGTCAGAGCGTGATTTTTGTACGTGAAAGCATTCCGTTGAATATTTCAGCGGCGTGCTTGTAAAATTCTTTCAGCGTTCGTCAAGCAAAAGTTTCTACAGTTAAACTTCAATTTTTAAGAATAAACGAATCACCTGCTGAACTCGTCAGAGAATCTAGCTGTATATTAACGTTAGGCTTGGAAAGGGATATTCCTTACATTTGTTATTCTGACATTCCAGTAATCAGAAAGCTATCCTCATTTATCAAGATTTCAAACGATGTATCGCGGTGCGCAGCGAAGATTAACTGCATAAAAGTGAAACGGTAAAGCTTGGGAAGTGAATGGACTTTACTGGATGTCGATGGCGACAATCGCCGCTGAAATCCAGGCTATCTCTTTTCACTTCGTTATTCCACTTGTTTTCGATACGATCTAATAACGAGATCGAGAAAATTGCGCATGATGATTCTGTTGATGTACCTACGTGAAATGAAAGAAATGCTGATAAATTTAACAGATAGTGAAACCATGTTTCTCATTTAATTCCAGATAAACTAATAAAATTTTAATCTGATTGTGAGATTTAATTACAGAGATAATGTTAATAAACAATGTCAGAAATAGAAAATTCGTGATAAAATCTTTCTCGAAAATTTGCTGAAAGGGAATATAGGTACTTTAACTTAAATTTAAAAAATCTGTCGATAAAATTCGCGAATCGTAGAATAGCGTGTCTATAATACGATTAAAAAATAAATAATTCTATATTTAATCTAAAATTTTAAATGTCGGATATTAAATAATCGCAAAAGAGAAATAAAATATACATCATGCTCCACACCTTGTTTGAAATTATTTTTATCGGAAAGAAGAATATTGCAAAGCAGATTTTATTAACATATATTACTTTTATCTTAATAAAGTATTTTGCAATTCTTGCGTAATATTATTACAAAACATAATTGCGTTATTTCAAAAATCATTACATTATTTTTTATTTAATTATTATTATTACAAGAGAATGCAAAATGTGAATACTTTTCTTTATCTACTGTACATATGACATTCAATATTGATGCCAGATTTATGCCTGTGCGTTCGAACGAAGTGGTACGTGAGTATCCAGCATCACCGTCGCTTCTCGCAACGGTACTTCCAAGACAAGGAGGCCGCATCATCTACGTCGTCTAGCACACAACTTTTCATGCCGGCGGCACTATATGATACGCATATCTTACCTTGAAGATTTTCAATCATTCGCCGTCCTTTCGCGGAAGGAAGGAAAGAAAATCTTATGCACATCGGACGATAAGAAAAGAAGAGAAGAGATACAAGTTAGATTCGGCTCTCCTTCTTGGTCTTTATTATTTTCTTTATATTCGCGCGGCAATAAATTTTTATTCTCGCGAAAGACGATGACGATATATTTTGCGTTCTCCAGGGGCGTTTATTCAAGTCTCCCGGCACGAACGGCGTTCGTGCAAATTTTTTCGAGTTTATGGATCTTTCTACCTTCCAGGAATGTCGGCGACCGGAATTGCCGAGCGCATTCCATGCCAACTGCACGCGTACACAGTTGAAGAAAGATTCTTAGAAGTTCGCTTCAAAGGATTTTACATGTATCTTATGTTAAATGCTATACGCTGCGTATCACTGCCGTGTACACCTATCATCTCGTATATAGTTACAATAAATGCAATTATTGTGCTGAAATATTCAAGTTGATTGTCATTAATTGCGAATCAAATTGATTTTGAGAGAAGCGGTATTTTGTAATTTCGTTTTATTATTTGCAGTTAGAGCGCGATAAAGAAATTAATCCGTTGATACCGTTGCTGACAGCCGAACGGTAATCCCGTTCACCTTTTCTCCAATAAACACATACGTTGGACAGAATATTCGCCAGAGGCAATACCGTTCGGCTGACCCGCATAGAAACTGTAATATTTTTCTTACTAATCGACGAATAACATATAATTGCAAATACTGTAAGTGCGTAACTGGCGTAACACTTATTGCCGAACCAAGTTAATTTAAGAATAACGGAATGCATATGTCCGATGAAATTATTTACATACATAGACAAGAATACCGATAACGAATGCAATTGGAAAGTGCTTGTCTATTTGCGTATATGAAACATTCAAAAATCTTTGTATAATAAGTGCAAATTTATGTCGAATCGGTGCAACGATAAAGAATATGCATTTTTACCGATTAATCTTATGCACGGCATTTCGTATTCAATCCTTTTTCTCATAATTTTTTGACCAATCTTGAAATAATTTTTTCTTCTCGAAAATTGAATATGCCGTATTCTCCTATCGTATTTTTAAACTTTTCATTTAAATAAAATAAATATTAATTTATAAGTTTTAAAGATATTAAGTTTATTAAAAAATGTTTAAGAAATATCTATATAGCTTCATTATACATATTAGCAATTTGAAAAAGTAGTTTACAACCAGCTTTTTATTTTTTTCTATTTGTTCTTATAACTCAAAAAATATTGATGTATACATAGAGGCAAGATTAAATTGAAGACAGAGAATTGGCGCAATTGAAAGGAAATATTCCTATATAAGTAACTGTGTTAAAACTTGCATTATATTTTACAACTAATATAAAGCTTTATCTAATCGCATACAACTGAACAATGTTAAGTCGCGCGATTCTAGATATCTTTTCGATTATACATTTCACAATTTTATTTCCGCTTCGCGCAATATCCTATCTGGTGCACAAGCACAGATCGAATCGATTGGCATCCAGAAAAATACCAGCTGCGCATTGACCAATAAATGTACTGTAATTTTACCGTTACGAGTTACCATACTATATGTTTTATAAAACGGAATAGCTTTTGAACTTGAAAATATTCGATATAAAGTTATCGATGAAATTTATACGTATTTTATTATAATATTACAATAATTTAATTTTAACATTGTAGTAACAAATATAATAAGACAGACACGTGATGGGAGAATGATAGATGGTGTACTACTATAATGTACACGTAAACAGGTAAACAGGTTGTAATCACGCCGGAAGGAAGTGATCGACCTGACAGCCGAAAGGTAAAGCGGAAAACAATCGGTCTTAAGTTGTCGTTTCGTACATACTTGAAATATACACGATCAATCCAATAATTGCCGCACAACCGCACGAGTTGTCTTTTCTTTCTCAACGTTTCTACAACATATTAATTATTTTACATGTTAAATTATAATACAAGTTTTAATTAAAATAGGATCTTAAAACCAAGAAAAATACGCTTGCAATTTTCATTGTAAAAATTGGGAAAGAGAAAGTTGGATTAATATCTTTTCATAATTATAATAACAATAATTATTATGTATATAATTACGCGGAATAATATCATAATTATGAGGGATATGCATCTGTATGTATTATTATAATTTTATGCTGTGGTATTTAGCTGTTATAAGAAAGTTAAAGACTGTACGAACGCAATGAAGGAAACAATCTTTCATTGCACGAGAGCCTGAACGACAGACGGGACCTATACGATACCTCGTACATTTAATTAAATCGCGGCGCGTTATGCAAGATGTTAATGCACGGTAATCATTATACGTGTCTGCGTAAGTGTGCGTAACCGCTGACTTACGAGGACAGCTCCTCGGGAAGGAGGAGGAAGAAAAATTAGGGGTGGGGAGGGTATGCGTACGACTTTCTCCGATGCAAAATATGTGTGCCATCACCTTCTTAGCTCCTTTCCGGAGGCTACGCCTCGCCGCCTTTTCACTTTTCGTGGATCCAGCCCACGCGCGCAATCGCGGCGCGCGGTCAGACTTAATTAAGTTCGCGATCAAGAGCGAGACGCGATAAGATCGCACTTCGGAATCGCGCTGGCGCGGATCTACCTATCGTGACGTTTATAATTGCATCGTGTGTATCTGCGATACATTTATTTATATTCATTTATAGAATGCACATTGGCAACTACCTGTGCACCTATATTTGCTTGAGAAATCGATTCGACGCAGTCTAATTTTTCGTTACGCAATTCGTCACCTGGCAATTTTACGCCGTTTTGTTTATTTTCTTATTTTACGATTTCTTTTCAAAAAACAGAATTTTACGTCAAATGCAATTAAATTCGCCGGCCGACCGACCGAGAGTGTATATACACGTAGATCTATTGCGGCGCGCATTGTGATAAATGTTGCAGAAAAGTCGCGGTTGTTAAACGCTCGAAGAATGCGGGAGCTATAAGCGTCCAGTTATTCCAGCATAGATTTATCGTTCCACTTTCGTGGCTGCCGATCCGTTCCTCCGGCCGCGGCTGCTGCCGGCGGCGCGGCGGCTGCCCGGACTTTACTCCGCTGGCAGGTCTAGCTCCGCCGTTGTAGCCCCGGATTGTAAATCTTCGGCGGCGCGGCGAGACGCGGTTGTTATCGTCGTCGCGCGCTGCACCCGCTGCTCCTCGCTCGAGATCCATATTATTTCTCGCTCTTGACATCGTAATCCAATGCGTAGTAGAGAGATCAATACTCTTAATGATGTCTCGAGGCTCAATTTATCAGCGAAGGCTTTTCGTGACTTTTCGTTTGTATTGCACATTTATATTTGACTGTTTCTCGTCCGAGAAAGGAGAAAGAGAGATTTCGCGCGAGAGAGATTTTTGCGACTATTTAATACGTGACCGTGTACACGGTACTCAAATATACTTCTCGAGCTATGCCGATTTCACGACTTGAATCGAGAAATATATAGTGGTCAGAAAATGAGTGATGCCGAACACAATGCGCATTTTAGTATCGAGTTCTGTGGAACGGATTTTGTGCAACTTCTTTTCATATACGGTTTCTATAAAGTTTCATAAAACAATTTTAACGTTTCTGCGTTCGATTGTTATTTTACTCGTTGCGTATCTCTTTCTCGATCGGATTGAATTGTGTCCTTTATTGGAAGTCGTAACTCCAACAATGCGAATTTGAGTTGCACTTGCAGCTGCCAGTTTCCTTTCTAA